GCCCCCTCTGCTCTTCCCTGGTGAGGCCGCATCTGGAGTACTGTGTCCAGTTCTGGGCTCCCCAGTTCAAGAAAGACAGGGATCTGCTGGAGAGGGTCCAGCAAAGGGCTACAAAGATGATTAAGGGTTTAGAACATGTCTCATATGAGGAAAGGCTGAGGGACTTGGGTCTCTTTAGTCTAGAGAAAAGAAGATTGAGGGGGGATCTTATTAATACTTACAAATACTTAAAGGGAGGGTGCCAGGTGGATGGGAACAGTCTTTTTTCAGTGGTGCCCAGGGACAGGACAAGAGGTAATGGGCACAAGCTTGAACATAGGAAGTTCTATCTTAACATGAGGAGGAACTTCTTTCCTTTGAGGGCAGCAGAGCACTGGAACAGGCTGCCCAGAGAGGTTGTGGAGTCTCCCACACTGGAGACATTTGAAACCTGCCTGGACGCCGTCCTGTGCAACCTGCTGTAGGTGACCCTGCTCTGGTGGGGGGGGTGTGGACTAGATGATCTCCAGAGGTCCCTTCCAACCCTGACCATTCTGTGATTCTATGTTTAATTTTATACTGTAGTCATCTATGCATTTTAACTGTATTCTCTACTGCAATGTACATGTATTATGTGATGAATTAGTGTACTGTGTTCAGGTTAAAAAAGCTACAGGATTTAGTGATTTTGTTCACTTCTGACACGAAAAACAAATCACATTTCCCTAAGTAAAGAAATCTTTTGGTAGTTCAGCAACAGGGTACTGGATACCATGCTAAAATGAATATTTGCTTTGGTATGAGTTTGACATCACCAAATGTAATTATTAAATTCAGCCCATATTTTACAACATGGTTTAGCGTGGTTTCCAGTAAATGATGATGAAGAAAAAAGGATGAATTATACAAAAACATCAATTAATATATCATTAATATATACTTACTTGTTATTAGTGGAAGGGTTTTAGTAAGTGGTACTAGAATAAGAACTACTTGATCTCAACATATAAAATTGTTATTTTAATGGAAGTCTGAAGCAAGGGGATTTGAATACCAGCCTTACATGCTAAATATGTATCTATATATAGAATGCCACAGAATATAACAAGAAATGAAACTACATGAGCACCTCTCCTTAAAGAGCAGATGCCCCAGGCAAAAAGATTCATGTCTAGAGCTGGATGTCGTGCATTCTGGATATAAGTTTTTGTTTCAGGCTCTTCTCTTTTTTAAAAATAGCTGTCATGCTGTAGCTATCTTATATAGAAAAATCCTAGGAACGTGTCAGCACCAAGCATCTGGGCTGTTAAAGAAAGAGAGACTGAGGGTGTTACAGTGTCTTTATTAGAGCTTTCTCTACAAACAATACTAAAATCTGACAGTGAGAAAAGGCCTTCTACTGAAACTGTTTTGTCTTTTAATAATTTAGAATTAGCTAATAATCTATCAAGATGCACCAGGGCAGTATAATTTCGCACAAACCATTTGATCATCTTAGGCAAAATGAATCCATTAACGTAAGCAGTTAGACATAACCGGGCATGTTTGTCATGCTGGCGTGATGCCATGCCCCTGGGTGAATGGTTAGGCAGGATGCCAAAGGCCAAGTATTACAGCCACATCAGTGGCTGTTCTAGCACAAGACACAGCCATTGGTATTTTACTGATCCTGAAAAGGCCTTACAGAAGCAATGCTAGGGGAAATTCTAAAATGAGGAAAATATGACATTGCGGGACAGTTTAAAGCCTTTACAGATCATCTAAGTAAACTAAATACAAATTAATTCATTAATATTTATCAAAATATGCTCATACACTTTGACTTCTCCTTTCCCATGTGTTCAATTTTCAGCTTCTGGCAATCTTTTTCTTCCCTGCCTCTTCTTCCTGTAATGTCACAGCAAGTCTCAGCCTTGCCTCATTTGCAGAAGTGGGTTTATTCCATTAATATTACAGGGGAAAACAGCTTAATTGGGAGTATTGTGTTGTTGCCAATTCACTTGTCAAACTCTGAGCAAAGTCCAATTAAGCAGGCCTTGCACTGTACTCTCTCACTTCCTAGAGAGTGGTTTGAAAGCCACCTTGCATTTACCAGTACAAGAGTCACACTGCATTTAGTCTACAAGTCATTTCTGTGATTCCTGTACTCCCTCCTTGGAGGAGGGGAGAAGGGAAGGAAGGGCTCACTAGTAGTTTAGTGCAATTAGGTCTTAATGTCATTTGGAGGTAAGCACTGTCGCAATACAAGTAAAAGAAGTAGCAGATCCGCTCCATTTTCCCACGACTAGAAACTAGAAACTTAATTTCAGTTGGTAATGCTCTGGTTTTTATTATCATGTCAGGAAAACTATAAAATTATTATTTTTAGGTGATGCAAGAAATGAGAGTTTGAAATGTAAAGTATAGGCAAGACCAACTGTAAAACAGTCATGGAAGATAGAATTCATGCTCCGGATGACTTTTTAACGTACCAAGCAGCCACCAACCTCCACACTAACATTCTCAAAGCCATAAATCCACTGCAGTTTTGCCCATCAGTTTCAGCAAGATCAGAATAAGGCATGAAAACTAAATGTTTTTCACAGCCGTGCCATGTTTATGTCAGAATTCTACCACTTTTTCCTTTCACCACATTTGAAGATGATGAAGGTCGGAAATTTTACATAGTGCACAAATCTGCTAGGACTGAGGTATTCAAACCATACTGACATACTGCAGCAGTTTGTAAACAAATGTGTGGACACACTGACCAGGTAAGAGTCCTTGGAACTGTCCATAATTGCAATGAGTTGCTTGCTGGGTCCAGTGAACACTGTGGTCTACTGCTTAAAGCATGGGAGAGGGATCCAGGAAGTCCCCGAGTACTAATCCTGGATCTGCCACTGACTTGTTGTGTGGCCGTGGGAAAGTCACTTAACCTCTGTGCCTCAGCTTCCCCATCTGTAAAATAGGGATAATAATACTTACTCATCTACCTTCCTCACCAAGCTGCTCTGTGCCATAATTAATATTCACACAGCATTTCAGAACTGTAAGGCACTACAGAAGTGCTAAGTCATTCGATTTAGGAAAGTGCGCAGTTTACCCATGTGAAGAGATGATGATAGGAAACAACAGATTGATAAAAATCAACACTTAGGCACAAAATGTTTTGGGTTTTTTTTTACATCAAACCAACATATATTAATACCTTGTAATGGTTTTACAGTGCACAGCTTTGACAACTCAACTGGACAAAGTTTACATAAAAATGAATATACTGGGCTCCTTTCTGAGCTAATTCAAGAGCAATGCTACAGAAGCCAGTGGAATTAGGTTTCTCTGAAGCTGTAATCAGAGCACAATAAACTTGTCGTATATTTCTAAAAAACTCTAACATTCTCTTTTTAGTTATATTTGTTAATATTTTATGGGTTTACATAGTTATTACACAATGCTTTACCTAATACGTAGGGACAAAACTATTTCCCCAAAGCAATAAAATATCAGCAAGCACACAGTAGAAGAAATAATGTATCTGGGATCAAAAGAGTAAGAAAAAGCTGAGGCTTTCACGTGGAAACCACAAGCTCCTTAGAGACCAGGGCTCAGTAACTCTACTCAGTCCAGGATTTCACCTCTTGCATTTTCCAAATGAATGCTGAAATGACCTTCACCACACAGCAGCATCTGCTGCACATATTTCACAGGAAAAATCTATTTTAATGGAAGAGTCTTATAAATACAGTTGTTAGTATTTTTGTCACTTCGTATTAGAATGTCAAACACAGTGGTGAATATAGAAAAGCAGACATTACAGTTGTCCTCTGCATCCTTTACAGTGTAACCGCCCATTATAACACTGAAACATATATTAAAGTTGAACAAAATTAAAGGGAAATAAACCGCCTTCAAAGACATCTGGCTTCTACTTTTTCATATGCAGTCATGAAGGAAGAAGGTCACGAGTGCTAGGAGTACTGATTTTCAACCTCTAGATAAACAACCTGCTTATCAGAGTATAAAGTGAGGCTGCAGCTGTTGCCAGGAATCGTAAGTGTATTGGTTAGTAGGAATAAAAAGGCTCATGGTTCAGAAACCAGAAACCAATGTCTGAAGTGCCCTTTCCACCCAAGTATTGATAAAGCTCACTACCCAGGATATTCCAAAGCTAGATAAATATCGTCCTGGAAAGCTTCCCAAATTGACTCTCTTTAGCTATGATACAACCCTAACGGCAATTCACAAAGTGTGGAAGAAAGGTTGATCCTTAAACCTGTCACCTCCCAGAACTGTGCACTGCCCTTCCACACCTCAGATCAATGTAATTAACAGAGAAACTACACGTTTAGAAAAGCTGAGAAACGTTATTTTATGACAGCTGTTTTTGGGTGGTTTTAATTATAGCTCTTATAAACTGTCTATGCTTTCATCATGTGGTAGATCATTGAGTGGAAAGAGGAGGAAAGCACCTCCTTTCAAAGGTGGATCCATACAAAGGCATATGACACATTTTTAAATATGCATGTGCTAACCTAAACACTTACACTTGTAGAAATGCAGTACATTTCTGGACGATGGAATTAGGACATACTCCTTACCTTTGGCATGATAAGAAGGTAGATTATAGTCTAGTTGACAGTACACAGATTTAAAGTTATCTATACATTCATTACATGTATTGACAAAAAAAGGAAAACCAATACATGATCTTAAAAGACACTGCTCACATATCATAAAAGCTACCTGAATATTGCACATTTACTGAAGATCATCTGTGCCAATCACCACAGTAAATGAAGTATAACAATAAATATACATTAGGAAATAGGAAATTGTTAGGACAATAGGAAATTCTTGAATAGTTGCAATGAGTAAGTCTCATTGTCCTTCCCTTGGTAGGTACTGAGCTCCACTGGTATGATATTTAGTGCTAATATATTTTGAACAGACAAGTCCAAATGGGTAACACTAAAATTTTCATTGTACACAGAAAACTAGAAATTATTTCTTTTCTTAATCCTTCTTTTTCTCTAATTTTCTTCATATTTGGCTACTTTTACGTTCTGTCTCTGATATTTGGTCAGTGTTTTCAATAAACTAGATTATTGCTTTTCTTTGAAACACAATGCAAAAATCAGCTATAAAGAGTATTAGCATTCCAGAAAAATTTTCAGGGTTTTTAAATTTTCAGGTAAAATCATTTTCCTTTTTAATTACACTCTTAATACACCCGCAGCACAAATTACAACATAACCAAAAAGCATCCTTTCTCAGCATCTTCCTATCTGTAAAATATATAGCAGAGCAGAAGCCATTTTCATTTTTTCCACACTAGAAATTATGCATATGACACACCTGCTGACTCATAAGGAAAATAATCATGGTATTAATTACTTCTCCATATAAGCCACTTATTGATGATTAGACAACCTACATAATTCTCAAATGCCATCTGGAACTAAGGAACGCCTGTCAGCATAAAACATCAAATACTGCATTCCTATAAACAATAGAAAGCTGTAACAGAAAATTATTTTAGTTATTTCATATCATCAATAATTACATATACTTAGAACATGAAACACTATAATATATTAATTTCAGATTATATATTTTATCATTGAGTTAGTGATATAAACCTTGTGTATTCACCTTTTAAATGGTCTGTAATGAAATTCTAAATATTTATCCAGACATCACAGACACACCATGGATGCCTTCTCAGTCTGAAGATACTCCGTCATTATCTCTTTGTGGTGTATTTATTTCACAGAACCATTACATGACATTTGTATTTTTAAGATCATTTTGGTTAAGTTCAGCTTGACATTTCATGAAGATGGCATTACTAAAGATACAGAAAAGAGAGTTATTTGAACTCAGGAGCTGCCAAGAGCATACTGGAAATACTTTGTGAAGACAATTAACCTAAATGGCTAAAAAGCTATTATATGTAAATGGACGCCTCCCTGTTGTAGGAGGCAAATCAGTGGTGACTACCATGTTCAGCCTTGTCCTTTAAACCGTCCTTGAGCAGGCACAGTCACACAAAACTGATTTAATGCACAATGTGTATGCCCACAATTCAGATGCTACAATTCTCTCCTTCTGAAGACAAGCACGGGGGGGGGGAAAAGCTTTTTTAATATTATTGTGTTTAATAGCTTATATTACATATAATCATATTTAGCAATCTTCTGAGGTGGAAAGTACAGTGAATTTTATCTTTCTGATGAAGTATAATTGCTTTTCCATTCGAATAGCTATACTTTATCATCCTTTTCCCCTCTATCCACCTCCCAAGGAAGACCCATCAAAACACATTTATAATGTGATAAGGTCTGTTCTATAAGGTCTGTTCTGTAAGGTCTGAAGAATTATTTTTAAAAGTGTCCCTTTAATTGTACTGGGTTTGTGGCAGCTTTCTGCAGTAATCACTACTAGTTAACATAAAGCATGTATTTCTTTTGGTCAGCTCTACTCCACATAGTTCAGGCTATGCAACAAAGTAGAAGGCAATTAGTTTTCATTCCAGATTTGCATCTTCCCCGGGGCTGCATGTCATATGCATAAAAGCATCCTTCTCTGTCTCTTTTTCCCTCTTCTCTCTTTTTATAGCAAAAGCCAAGCCACTGTTTAGCATGATTCAATAAAGAAATACCATCTTCTGCAACGCTGCTAAAAATTGCACTAATCAGCACTGGCTCCAATGAACTGATTTGCTACTGACCTGAGACTGAGCACACGTTTAATGTAATAATGCAATTCCTGTAACATATAAACATAGATAATCATTACAAACATTAAATCTAAGCATCTACTATAGTTATAAATGTAATGAGATGAAACACAAGCAGAAAATACACACACAAATAAAACAAAGCAGTTTTATAGACAAGTAAATGCTCACTAATACATGTAATTCCTATGTTCATCTACATTGAAGCATACTGCGCTGGTTATATACCATTATGCACGATACAGCGACTATGAACTGATGCATAAATGAATACATAATCACTAAAATATTTCCTTGTCATTTGATAAGGAGTCTTCTTTCTTAGAATGGCCATTTTAGGCAGAAACAATACATTTCTTACATTTGCAAGGCAAATATGTCACTTTATCTATTCTTCATACACCTATCCAACTGAAGACAAGATTTCTATTTAAAGAAGATAAAAACAAAAAATCAGGGCAAAATAGTAACTTAATTTGTTGCAGTACCTAAATGCCCCACTTTTTCTGTCTGCACTCTCCCACCAGAAAAGGACTCTGTTGTACTAATAGCTGCAGCAACAAAAGGGCAGGGGGGAGGGAGGGAGAACACACACAAAAAAAACAACGTTCCCACTCAAAAGGCTTGATAAGCCTGTTGGATCATTTGATATAATAATGAAATAATGAACTATTAAATTCCTTCTGAATTTTGGTACCTGTTTTAAGCACCTGCATTTAATGACACCTGTGCTTGCCATGTTTTGCATGCCTCAGAGTAAAATTATCAGGAACACCTAAATGACCTGAGCATCTTACAAAACCTGAACAAGGTTACTTAGGTTGTCGCGTTCCTTTGAACATTTTCAGTTGTGTTAAGATTCTCATAACTTCTCTCCTTCCTTCCTATCATATCACATCTGCTGGATTTGTAAGCTAATCTTTATTCAATCACTAGCCTCAGCCAAACCTCTGAATAAATAAAAGACAGTGTTCCTCCCTGCTAGTTAAGGGATGTAGAAGTTGGGTCACATCTGTATGACTGAGATTTTATTCCTTTTGCCTCGTATTTTTCTTTGCTACACTGTCAAATACTCAAAAAGTTACAGAGGCAAGAATAGCACAGATTTGAAGCTGAGGCACGGTTATTTTTTCCTCTATGGATATTACTCAAATGTCTTACGTCATCCTAGTACAGTCCCATTAGCCGAAATCCTCTTTTCTCACTTCACAGCAATGGC